CGCATCTGGCCGAGTGTGTCTGCCGCCTCGATCAGGTCGCGGTACCGCTCACCCACCATCTGCCGCAGCTCCTCCTTCTTGTGCTCGATCTCGGCCCGAACCTGGCGCTCTAGCCCACGGATTTCCTCCTCCCCCTGAGTCTCGAAGAGCCGCGGCTGGCCTTCACCGCGTCCACCAGCCCCTCGGCGCAGCGGCGCATCTGGCCGATGGTGTCTGCCGCCTCGATCAGGTCGCGGTACCGCTCACCCACCATCTGCCGCAGCTCCTCCTTCTTGTGCTCGATCTCGGCCCGAACCTGGCGCTCTAGCCCACGGATTTCCTCCTCCCCATGAGTCTCGAAAAGCGCCGCGGCATCCCGCAGATCCAGCCGCTTCAGAGCGGCGGACGCAGCAGTAGCCGCCATGATACCGGGATCCGTCAGCTGGCAGCCACTTCCGCCTTTCAGTCCGCCCACCCGCCATCTTAGGTAAGGGCAGACGCACTTCCGGTCTCTCGGGCCCATGTTTGTTCCGGGCTTCCTGGGAATCAGGGGCTGGCATCGTTTGGTTGGGAAGCGGGTACCGCTGTAGATTTAGCAAAGGAGGCTAGCTGCTTAAAAAGCTGGGTCGCAAGGCTGGTGGTGCGTTTACCTGTCAACGCCTGAAACCTCGTCGCACCTGAAACCTTTCCTTTATACAAAAAAAAACCTTTATGGTCGAGTTAATTGCGAGTAGACTCCGGCGATCTGATTGTCATTTCTCCTCTGGACTCTTGTGTCCCCTTCTAGGCTATTCCAACCCACACACCCCCCATCACGTTATTCCGCTGTCAGTCGGTGCCTTTTCCTGGAAAAATCCCGCTACCCAGGTAACTGGTGGGGTGAAGGCTGGGGCCCACGGCTGAATGCACTTGTCTGACCCTGCTGCTGCTGGGTTACACCTGCTGGGCGCCACCCGCACTCACCAACACCTGTGCCGCTTGTGACACGTGGATGCAGCCTAAGGAAGCAAGTGTGCATCCTGTTATTTGCTAGGGTCATTAGCTGAACAGAATTTTAGAAAAGAAGTTTGAGGCCATTTCTATACATGGGAAAGAGTTAAATTGCAAAGGCTGCCCTGAACACTTATATCTCCCCTTCCTCTCTTCTCTTCTTTTCCCCTCCCTTCCCTTCCTCCCTCCTTCTCTCTCTCTCACTCTCTCTCTTTCTCTTTCTCTCTCTCTCTCTCTCTCTCTCTCTCTCTCTCTCTAGTACTTTGAGATTTTTCTGTTTTGCGTGGGGTGGATGTTAACCTAGTAAATAATGAAATTTGAAGACTGGCTTGTTTCTCCTGGTGCAGGACCATCATTTTGAGAGTTCATTACGGACAACTTCACCAAGATTTCACTCCACATTAATGCAGAGAAGATGGTACAGCGGGTCACCAGCCAGGTTGCACACAGACCCATCTGTGTCGCTATCAGTCTAATGGACAGCCCTCTCCCACACAACACCTTTATTATTTCCAGGCAATTCCCAGACATCAACAAATTTTGCTCTGTAAATAAACCATTAATTTAAGATATTCCACTTTACTTCACAGTAGCCCTACAGTATAGGTAATGTTATTCTTGCTTCAGAGATGGTTAACCCGAGACCCTGGGAGGCAAACAGTTCAGTTTTCAAAGTCTGTTACATACATCAGCTCTGCAAGGTAAGCAGGAACACTATAACTATTCAATACATAGCAAAAAGCCAGAGCAGGTTACTTATGTGCTCTCGTCATATAGCTTGTAAGTGATAGTGAGCACTTGAATCTAGATTTTGAAATCTTGGCTACTGCCCTTTTCTACTTTTCCAGTTTTCTCTAAACTCAGAAGGACCCTTAGTGGTGGGGCTGCAATTCGCTGGCTGTGCAAGCCCATTCTGTGGGGGACAGTGATTGGTGTTTTCCTGCACAGCATCTGCAAAATCAGTTCTGTGCTTTGGGAGTTCATTTCTGTCTGAAAAGATCTTTTACTGGGATTTCTTACAGCTACAAGGCAAGCTGGTGTCCTGGGAGGGATGAACCAGACATAACCATGTGGCCTTGGGATGGATGGAATGCTAGTGAAGTCAGGAAGCAGGGACAGTAGGGATGGCATTCTGCTGGCAGTGCAGGTATCACCTGCAGCACCCACTCTCCAGGGATGGCAGGGCTGCTGAGTCCAGCCATAGCTCCTCAGTGCCAATGCTAGAGGCAGAGCTGGTGACAGCTGTGGGCATCCACAGGGTGACCTCTCCAGAATCATCTTGTGGCTGCTTTGATCAGATCCTGGGTATTTAGCTTCCCTTTGTCCATTTGCCCTGTCTCTCCACCTTTCCCAGTGCTGCTCACGCTGCCTAATGCATCGTGGTTAGATTCCACTGTTTTACTTTCAATTGTTTTATGGCACTGGGAGTTGAACCTAGGGCCTTCACACTGGCCTACATCCTTGGCCCTTTTTCTGTTTTTTATTTTAAGACAGGGTCTTGCTAAGTCACTGAGTTGCCCAGCCTAGGCTCAAACCTCCTGCCTCATCCTCCCAGGATGGTAGGACTGCAGGCCTGTACCACCAAGCTCAACTGATTTCTTTGAGGCTCAAAACCAGGGCCTGTGAGTTGCCCTAGAGACCCTAACTGAGTGTCTCTCTTCTCGAGTTTTCATCTCTGTGAGAGTTTCCTGAAGCCATTCCAACAGTGGGTGGGGGGCAGATGGTAAGTGTATCAGGGAGAACGGGAGGCCTGGGCTTCCCCTTGAGAGAGGTGGATTGCACTTCTACATAATACCTGCAAGTCAAGCAGCTGAGTGTTTCCAGGGCCCAGTGTGCTCTGCAGTCAGATGTCTGTCTCTGCCTTTCTGCTGTGTTTTCCCTGCCGAGTTCATCTGACTGTCCTGAAGATGCCACTGTTGCTCCTCTTCTTGCAGAACCCATTGCAGATGGAGGCTTTTTTCAATCTTTCTTCTTAGCCTGGATTCTGGAAAGCTCCTGAGGCCTGGAGCAAATTGGCCATTGACTCCTTGTTCTTGAAGCCTCCTTTCCTTTGCCCTGCATCCAGGGAGCAGTCACACCTCTCCTGAGGGGCATGTCAGCTGGAATTACGGAAACTAGGGATTGGGCCAAGAGCTCAGCTTCAGCAGCTGGATCAGACACTAAACTGGGGACAGGTGACAGAGATGAGAAACTAAGTGCTTTTTATATCAGGTATTAGGAGGTACACAACTGACTATTGTTGTAGTTTAGTTTGGGTGTTGGGATAAGCACAGGTGTGACTTCTACTACTGTATCAAGCTTTCTTCCTTTTACCTTAACACATTCGTGCCGTTTTGAACCACCCATACTGTCTCATTGAGTGACTTGCTCCACCTGATAGGACTGCCCTGTGCCATGTGATGGAACAGTCATGCATGTACCACCAGTGGTTCAAGCCAGCAGGAATGTAACAATTCACATTAGAGCTATCCAGCAGCAGGACATATGAATTAAGGACCCATCATGACCTTTAGCTGTAGAATTTTAAGCATTAAACGTTTAACCTATTATGGCTGGTTGATTGATTGATTTTGGTACTGGGGATCAAACTCAGGACCTTGTGCTTGCAAGGCAGGCAGTGGTACCACTGAGCTAAATCCCCGGCACTTTGGTATATTTAGATCATTCTGGGACCCTTCATTCAAAACGAGGCATTCTGCTCATAATAAGAGCTAACTTTTGGGTACCATCTAGGCATTCTGCATCTATTATCTCTAATCCTTACCCTAGTCCTATGCACTGGCAGTTTGGCACTCATTTTACCAATGAAACAGGTTCATAGGATCAAGCAACCTGTCCAAAGTCAAGGCAGGTCAGTAGTAGCCAAGCCTGTCTTCAGATCCCAGTCAGTCTGACTTTAGAAATCTTTGATCTTTTTTACTTTGTTGCATTGCTAGCATCAAAGAAAATTTCAGAATAACCAGAGACACATAGCTCAGCAATTCTGAGCACCACTCAGGTGGTCCCCTGGCACTCCATGCCCTCTGCCTGAGAGTGGGTCTCTGTAGTAGTCCAGGCTTTTTGAGCACCTGGGCTGGAATGGATTTCCAGTGATTCGGGTGTAGTGCCCCATGGGGTGGCCAAGATCGGTAGCCAAATGTCAACCATGTTAAGGATTGCCTTCAAAACCAAGAATGTATTCTGCTATTCAGTCCCTTCTAAGCCCATCAGTATGTACTCTTATCTCATTTGGAACACTGAGGAACAGATTTCTTCTTTTTTTTTTTTTTCCATTTCTCTTCTTACTTTGTAACAGATATATAGAAACCAAGACAGATTAATACTTAAAACAGAAGAGGTTTCTATAGTTTGGGTATTGAAATATGTTAAAGGCTTTGTCCCTGGGGAAGAGATAAAATTACTTATGAAAATGAAAATAAGACCTTTCACTCTGGCTAATCTAGGAGAAATGGAAAGGGAGAAAGCTACAAGGAAGAAAAGAGGAAAAAAGAAGAATCTGATCACAAAACAAGACAAAAGGAAAGGAAATCTGTTGTAGTAAAGGACTGGCTGTGTCAGTAAAAGTCGCATCAGGGCACAGAAAGTTGAATTCTACGCTATTGAGAGGTGCGATTCAGATACTTGATGGTGTTTGCTCTTGGCTGAGATGCCAATGGGATTAAGAGAGCCTGATAAGTTGTCTTGACATCTTCTCTTGATAGCAGCACTTCTCAGCCTGTGTCTGCTGAAGGTGACATTAATGGCAGGAGGGGCAATTATTTAACTTAACTGTTTGCAGATACCTGGGACACTGCCTTCGACAAACAGCCAGGCAGGCGTTACCCATGATGAAGGAGCCTGCACTTCTAGGCTTCACACTTCCTCAGCACCCTTCCTCCACGTCCTGACTCAGAAGGGTGGAAGTGGAAATGGGTAGAAAGATGAGGCGTTTGCAGACGACTCCTGTGTTTGCTGTTCCCAGTGAGCGCCTGCTTCGAATGTCTCCTTAGAGTCTTCACTGCCCCTAGAGTCTGAGCTGTGAGACATGTCAGACTAAATGGACCCAAAGTAAGAACTCTCCCCAGCTATCTGTCCACATTCCAGGTCAGCCTATCCCAGGAAATGGCACCACTTTATTATTCCTGGCTAAAGCTCAGAAATAATCCTCCATCTCTCTCCTCTCACTTTCCACACCCAAACCGTTTGCCAGAATTGTGGGCTCTTCCTCCCTGTCGGAGGTTCATGAACTCTTGATATGAAGCGCCAGGTGGTACCTGGGTTTTGCAACTCTCGTGGTCTCTGTGGCAACTATTACAGCAAGGCCACTGTCACCCGAACAGCAGTAGATAGAAGGGACACGCAGAAGCATGGCTGTGTCCAAAAAGACTTCATGTACAGAAAGAAGTGGGAGCTGATGTTTACCCATGGGACATACTTTTCTAACATCTGGTCCTTTTACAACCCTGCTGTCTCCATCCTGACCCAAGCCACCT